TCCTCAGCAGTAACCACAGTGACAAAAGAGGAGGACCAGCCTTGCAACATGGTCAAAACTAAATGAAGATGAGTCGGAATCCTGTTTCAGATAAAATACTGAGTACTAAAGTTAGGGGTTACGGGAGAGGGGTAGGTTGGCCGGTAGCGTCTTTGTTCCAAGAGTAGCTACCCCGATCTTTGGTGAGGTCGCAGGAGGAAACAGCTCACCCCCCAATAAATCCACCCCTTGCAGGGCAGTCCGCTTCAGGCGATGGTTTAGGCTCTCCCTCCTGGGCCTGTTTCCGAGATCTTGTAGTGACGGGGGGGGGGGACGTCCTATCCCCGCGGGGGTGCTTGCTCTCTATCCGGCTGCTGCCACGGAAGCCCGGTCCGGCCCATCGCGCCACCCGCCTCGGGCAGCTGGTGGCTCCTCTTCGCGTGCAAAATCCCCAGATAACGGGGTTCGGGAAGCGAAAGAAAAATGACCAATGTTTCCAGAAAGCCAAACTCCCCTCAGCAGCACACCAAGGAGGCGGCCATATTGGCAAAGCCCAGAATGCATCACGACGACGGGCCGTCGTCCAGCTCATGCCGAGTCAAATGCGTTCGGTAAGAGCAGTTCAAGAAGGGATTGACGGGGGAGGACGGTGTTACCAAGGCAACCACCAAAGCATTCTGGAGACAGTAAGCTTCAAAAGTCCGATACCGGAAGCAGATGCTGCCTGACACCCCTTAAAACAGGCAATGGGAAATTTGCCAACTGTATTTATATAAAAAGGGAAAAGAAGCCTCCTCCTGCTATTCCTAGCTACAGTTTTGCCCCTATTTGCCTTTCACCATGGTAAAGTGTGTGTGAGAGATATCGGGGGGGGGGTGGGCGGATCTGTTCGTTCTTTTGTTTTCTTGAATGCCGTAAGTATACCGCGTCGTGGAAAGTAATGGGCTTGCAACTGACGTCCTGAATTTCTGGGCCCAGGTCAAGCATATCCGTTATCTTACACACACCCATGCTTGGTTGGACCCTGTCATTCTCCCACAGCTTTAGACCGGTCAAAAATGGTTGCCAACCTCCAGGTGGGACCTAGAGATCTCTCGGAATTACAACTGATCTCCACCAGAGTTCAGTTCCTAGATTTGCCAACCTCCAGGTAGCACCTGGAGATCTTCCACTATTACAGTTGATCTCCAGATGACCAAGATCAATTCCCCTGGAGAAAATGGCTACCTTGGTGAGTGGACTCTATGGCATTATACCCTGCTGAAGTCCATCCCCTCTCCAAACCCTGCCCTCCCCAGGCTCAAACCCCCCCCCCAAATCTCCAGGTATTTCCAAACCCAAAGCTGGCAACCCTGTCAGTTCCCCTGGAGAAAATGGCTGCTTTGTAGGGGGGACTCTACGGCATTAAACCCCTCTGAGGTCCCCCCCAAGCCTTACACTCCCCAGTTTCCACACCCCAAATCTCCAGGAATTTCCCAACCCAGAGTTGGCAACCCTATGCCAAAATGAAACTATCCATTAAAAATGACCAGCCAGAGTTTCAGACTCTTTTTCTACTTTATCTTATCTCAAACTGGCATAGAAATAGGAGCAGATCTCAGATATTTTATCAACAAAGAATTGGGCAAAATGTCACAGCCAACAGCTTATTCCTTATCACCAGCTGCTAAATTACCCTAAATAATTGTGCTTGACACAAATCAACTGACAGAAGAGTTGAAAAAGTATAGCTTATTTGCCATTATCATTGCCACCTCCAATGTTCCCTCTAAGCTGTGGAGTCTTGTGAGCAAAAATTCTACTTTCTGAACTACTGGCATAACTTAGTTTGCTCTGGAGCCATCCTTCCTGAGCTAAGGCAAAAATGGGTGAGCCAGAGGCTAAAAAACTGTGAGCTAGCTCACACTAACTCAGCTTAGAGGGAACACTGGCCACCTCATAGTAAAATTTGGCCCAATTTTTCCACCAGTAATGGAAAACTGATATTTTTAGCCTATATATTCTATTTGCCTGAAAAGAACCATCTCAAGGAGAAAAAACACTCAAAGTTACAACATTGCTGTTTTCAGGTTTCTGCCAGTTCCTCTTCTTCGCTTCTGGAAAGTTTCAGTCCTAGGACATTCAGTAAAGCTTTCCCTGTTATGCTGTCCACAGCATTATATTGAAGTCCATTTTTGTAGACTTGAATATCCGAAGTTGGGGACCACCGGAATCTTATTTTGGCCTCGTTGAGTTTAGTAGTAATAGGTTTCAGTTTCTTTCATTTCTCCAACACCTCAGGCGATAGATCAAGCAGTACTATCATTTTACTGTCCTGAAAGTTTAAAGATCCCCTTGTTCTTGCTTCCCTCAAGATCTTGTCACGGGTCCTCTGGTATAGGAATTGAACCAAAATATCTCGTGGTTTACCTTTCCTAGCAGCTGCTAACGGTCCCAGTCTTTGTGCTTTAGTAATTGCTGGTGCAATCCCATCTTCTAACTCCAAGACGGTCGCTAACCAGGCAGCAATTAAAGACGGCATGTCTGTTTTCTTCAGCCCCCTCCTCAAACCCACGAAATTTTAAATTTAATTGTCTCCATTTGTTTTCAAGTATGGCAATTCTATTTAGGGACGATTGCTCCATTAATTGTAGAGCTCTTACTTTGCCTTGTAAATTAAGCACCATTTCAGTTGCCGTTTCTGCCATTTTTTTAGCTGCAGCAAGTCTTTCACAATTGTTGCCATATCTTTAAGGAGACTTTCTCTCAGTTCTTTGTTTTGTTTTCTCAGATCTTTTCTAGTCAAGGGAGTTTCCTCCGGTATCGGAGAGTTTGGTGTCAAACTGTCTGCGTTTTTTACCGGCGCCATATTGTGGCTTTGCGTGGGGGATGGGGCTGTATTTTTAGGAGGTTCGGAAGGCAAGAAAAAGTTTTACAGTTTGATTACCTTTAGTTTTCGATTCATCCTTGCTTCCTGCATTTTTCATAATACTTTTCCTCGGCATGTAGACTTGTGTAGGTGATTTATCAATGTTTTAGGAGGAGAGGGGACGGGGGCCTTTCCACTATGCGTCCGCCATGCGCTGCTTGGCTCCATCCTCCTCCCCTCTGGGTGACTTGATGACACCTGACTGGCATGACAACTAGGCCTGGCTGCTTGCTCCTATTCACCTCCAGCAGCCCCTCTAGAAGAAGAACATATTGGATTTATACCCCGCCCTTCATTACCTGAAGGAGTCTCAGAACATCTTACAATCCCTTTCCCTTCCCCTCCCCACAACAGAGACCTCGTGAGGTAGGTAGGGCAGAGAGAGCTCTGAGAGAACTGCCCTTGAGAGAACAGCTCTGAAAGAACTTATGACTGACCCAAGGTCACAGTAGCAGTTGCATGTGGATAAGTGCGGAATCAAACCCGGTTCTCCCAGATTAGAGTCTGCGCTCTTAACTGCTACGCCACACCGTCTCAACTAGGACAGCAGGTGTAGTGTAGCAGCACTCCAGAGGAGGGTCTGCCAGACCCAGGTTCTTGCTGTGGAAGCTGAGTTGGTGATTTCAGACCAGTCACAGACTTTCAGCCTAACCTACCTCACAGGGTTGTTGTGCAGATCAAAAGGGGGAGAGGAGAATGATGTGAGCTGTTTTGGTCCCCACTGCGGGGAAAGATTGTACTTTTCCTCCTGGGGAACCATGTTGCCAATCTCCAGGTGAGGCCTGGAGATCACTCAGAATTACAACTGCTCTCCAGATGGCAGAGATCAATTCCCTTGGAGAAATTGATGGACTCTGTGGCAGTCTGGGCTTCAGAGCACAGAAGAGGCTGCAAGTGTGTGTGGGGGGGAATGGAAAGTTGAAGAGAGACAAGGAAATAAAGGTAGGTTGATGATTGGCTGGGAAGGAGCTAGGGTTGCCAACTCCAGGTGGAAAATTCCTGGAGATTTGAGGGATGGAACCTGAAGAGGGTGAGGTTTGAGGAGGGGTGGGACCTCAGACAGGTACAATGCCATAGACTCTACCTTCCAAACCAGCCATTTCTTCCTGGGTAACAATTGTTGCCAATATCCAGGTGAGGGCTGCAGATCACTGAAAATTACAACTGCTCTTCAGGTAGCAGAGATCAGTTCCTCTGGAGAAAATGGTGGATTCTGTGTCATTATACCCTGCTGAGGTCACCACAGCACATTGATGCTGAATGCCCAAGGCCTTGGCACTCTCCCAGAGCCTCTTTCTAGAGTTTGTTGTATTTATT